CCCTAAATCCCCAAACCCTAAACTCTAAACCCTAAACCCTAAACCCTAAAACTTAAACCCTAAACCCTAGCCTAAACCCTAAACCCATGGTCTCTCATAGTTGACGGAGGGCACTACTGCCGAAGGTGGCTGCGGAAGCCCCAGGGCATGAACCTGCGCCCCAAAGCATAAGGCCGTAGGGTGTGGGTTTAGGGTTTAGGGTTTTAGGGTTTAGGGTTTGGGGTTTGGGGTTTAGGGTTTAGGGTTTAGGGTGCAAACATTCAACCTTAAATCCCACCCCCACTGAGGATTAAAGCCCATTTGGGGCGTACTTCATCCAGTCCCCTACTGAAGACAATACGCGAGCCCTCCACCCTTATGTGACCCCAAAAAGCTTAGTTGACCATAAACTCTGTAGACCTTGCACCCAGCACAGCCCACACTGTAATTTTCAATTGTTGAAGCTTAATTAAGCCCTAGACGTTTAAAGTTGCAGAGCCTTTGCCCCAAATCCTGAATACTTATACACCCCAAATCCTAGAAAGCATTTCTAAGGCATTTATGGGACCTTCAAGAAATAGGGCAGACCCAACTGGGAGGACCCTTGGGGACCCGTACTTACCTAAGGTACCCCCCCCCCACCCCCAAGTTTCGGGAATCAGCCAACCCAAATCCCCAACGCCCGATGCAAAACCAGTGAGATCCTTATTAACGGTTTAGGGTTTAGGGTTTATAGGGTTTAAGTTACCCTAAACCTAAAGCCTAGACCCTAAACCCTAAACCCTAAACCCTTAACTTACCTTAAGAATCAAGGACCGTCGCAAGTCATGAGCCCTGCACCGTACAAGGCCATGGCGGCAGCTCCCCGACGTCTGGGGCGGCTAGCCATGGGTGCCGCAGCCAAATTTGCAGACCTGAATCCGTTCAGGGTTTATTGTTGTTGCTGTTGGGTTTTTGTGTGCAGGATCCTATATCAATAACCCTAAGGGTCCATGTGCCCAAATAGTAGAACATTGGCCCTAGAGTACCTATATAGGGACTACATTAAGGCCAAAGTATATACTATTTGGCTACATGGACCCTTAGGGTAAGGTATAAGTATACATGTAAACGGAGACTATAGGTATCTGGGCTTGTGTCATGGCTTTGGATTACAGGTAGGGCTATGGGTGCGAATTGCACGCAGCGGGGTTGGAGTTGAGGACTTTGTGACCTTGGTATCTAAATCCCAGCACTGCACGGGCTGTCGTTTCACAAGTGATCCCGAGTCTCAAATGCAAATCACTCAAGCTCATATAGTCAATCCCAGAAAGGTGGAACATGGATTTAGGATGAATAGTTCTGGGATCCCCTACACGTTACCTTATGGGCATGAGGATAATGATGTTCCAACTTTCTGGCTTCTACTGTAGGGGTTTAGGGTTTAGGGCCCACAGACCATCCAGCAGAAATCCTGGCAGCCCTTGCGGCTCACGGAAGCCCACGACCGTTTTCCGTGCAAGCGCGTTGGTGGGTGGATGCAGGATGCGAGGGCAGTGTGGTGGGATGAATTGCACAACGCTTGATATCCTTAACCGTAACCCTATTGCGATACCCTCGCTGCTCGAGCTTGAGCCACCCCAGGCTGTGATGTGGACCAGAGTTTACCTTTTGTCTTCATTGTATTTCCATTTTGGGGAGGGCTTTAGCCAATTCTATGCTTATGATCCGATCAGGTAGCCTCCAAAAACTACATTGGAGAGTATAGGTATTTCAGTAACATGCAGATTATAATCGCGTCGAGATGCATCTGATGAAGCCATCAAGGGGCAAGTATCCACACTGCGAACAACCACGTACCCTAGCTCGTGACTGGTTCAAAGGAATTAGAGACCTAAGTAGGCCTTTCTTTTTGGTCAGGAAAGTAGTTGCAAGTAGATCTCATGATATTCATTCCTTCCGAACCCCTCTGTCCTAAATCAACACGTCGCCAAGGCTCTCTGGCCACCGCTGCCGCTCGGAAGCATGGGGGCCTAAAGCCGAAACCTGCAACCTTAAACCCTAAACCAAGCTGCAAACCGTGAAATCTGAGGCCCCCACTCCAAAACTCACCAGTTGGCTCTGATGTTTTGAAGTCTCCAAAAAAGGATTCCTGAAGAAGGGCGCATAGCGCTAATTTTGGTGTCTGGCAAATCCCAGATGCAGGGTTAGCATTCTTGTGCGGTCTACCTATAGTCTCCATTATAGTTCCTTTCTGGGGTTAAGTTTTAGGATCCTAAATAGCACATTGGTTAATTACACTGAAGAAGAGGACCTACAACGCAGACTGTCACCAACAAGGCGTTTCGTAAGATGGCGCAATTGGGGCACTGCTAGGGTTTGGTAGAGCATGGCAGATTTGATGTTTCAGAGGTTTCGGTATGGGGCATGATAGCTTTGATTAAGTTTCTATACATAGCTCACTCCTGCAGCATGTCAGTAATGTTTAGCTAGTGTGGATCTAGGGTTGAAGGTTTAAGGTGGATTTGTTAGCGCGAGGCTTTACAGTTAAGATGTTGATGCTAGTCTTGTTCGATGCGATTTGGGGTTTGGCAATTACAATGGGTAGATTCGACAAACTATCCTGCTGCAGGTTTGACCAAAAAGGCGTAGACACATCGAACCATAGCGCGGTTTGTGCCCAGACTTCATCATTATAAGTTCTGCGTTAAGCCTGAGCTCCGGGCTTTGGGGTTTAGGGTTTGGAGTCTCCAGCAGCTGGCGGACTGCCTTGGACTTCAAAACCTGTACCCTAAGGGTCCATGTACCCAAGTAGTATATACTTTTGCCCCAAAGTACCTATATAGGGACTACTTTAAGGTATATACTATGTGGGCACACAGACCCTTAAGTGGTAAGAAGTATGGAAGTTTTTCTTTTGAGGACACTGCAGGCTGTTGCCAACCAAAACGAGTCAGACTGCCTAGACCCCTCAAAATCCCGTGGGTTTAGGGTTTAGGGTTTAGGGTTTAGGGTCAGGAATCTATACCTTGCACTATAGTACGACCCCTTGTATGGTTTCAGGTATTTTCCCTCCTTAAGGGATTTTGGAAGGTCTGACTGCAAGCGATTCCCGCGATGTCGATCCGTTCAAGCCACGGACGATCTACATCTTAGTAACTCCGTAGCTGAGTAGGCCACCTTTAAACTTTATGGGGCTTCCATCACCCTACCATCGCTGATAGGGTCAACCGGTTTTGGTCTTAGTTTCACAGCCCCTGAGACAGAATAAGCCTGTTTGCGCGCGAAGTTCGATTGCAAGTATCCTAAACCCTAAACCCTAAACCCTAAACCCTAAACCCTAAACCCTAAACCCTAAACCCTAAACCCTAAACCCTAAACCCTAAACCCTAAACCCTAACTAAAGCCCTCAAACTGCCACTACCGGGGGGGGGCCATGTCGTGGGGCAGTAAGTGGCCGGCTTTCTGGTTTCATACGTTTCCTACCTTTGGGTAGTTGTCAAAATTAGGGTCCCTTTTGGGGTACCCTAAATAATAGGTGCTGTACTATAATAAGGACCCCAAAAAGGGACCCTAATTTTGACAACCACCCATAGGAATGCCTTGGGATTTAGGTTGAAGGACCGGCCCTAAGTTCAAGACATATCGGGGCCTGAATAGTTACCTAGACTATGTTGGGGGCTCCTTACCATAATTATAGTATACTGGGCCCCAAAACCCTGTTCTAGTTATTGAGGCCCCTACATTACCCCACAACGGCCGCTAGACGCCGTAATATACCGAACCCTAGAAGCCCTTCGTCTACGGCTCAAAATAGTCCTCTACACTCTCCAGAAAATGGGTTTTTGGTGCCACTTGAATGCTAGATGCAGAACGCTAAAAGGCCCTAAACCCCAAGGCTCCGGAGATTCAACTATGCGCCCTCAAACTTTAACCTCTAAGCCTTACAACAGAAAGTCTAACCCTCCCCACTTGGAGGTTTATGGGTAGTTATAAGCGGAGTTCTAAGTCCCCTAGTACAGGTTATAGCTATAATTTCCTTATTATAACTACCCATGAACCTCCAAGAAAGCCTAGGCGGTTGGGGGTGCTGGTGGCTACGTCATGTACAAGCAGAGGCTTGGGCTGTGGGAGATCCGGAATTCAGACGGGAAGCGTGACGATTACCCCCCAGGGTCCATGTACCCAAATGGGAGTTTCCGAAAATTAGGGGTACCTTATTTTGGGGTCCTTATAATAGGGATCCTACTGTTTAGGGTACTATATCAGGGTCCCCTATTCTCGGAAACCCCCAAATAGAGTATATACTTTGGCGGCAAGGTACCTATATAGAGACTACTTTAAGGCCCAAGTATATGCTATTTGGGTACATGGACCGTTCGGGTTAGTGAGGTGTGGTGTAGTATCCATTGTAGCTCCTTTAGTTTTTAAAATGTTTTTGTAGTTGTGTGTCCTTGGAACCAGTTAGGATCCTAGAAGGTAGCCCAAACATTAGTCTCCATGGCAGTTTCCTACTTTTTTTAAGGCAAATTATAGTTAGGATCGTATGAGGTAGCCCATGAAGAGGTCTGTCGCGAACTCAGGACCGCCTTTGCTTGAAATCGCCGCGCAGTGCGGATTCTGTTGAAGACGAAGCCTAGGACTGCTTGGAGTTTTTATATGTAGTGCCAGTGATAAGGGATGACCAATACTTATCAGGATTACGGGTTTCTAGTTTAGGGTGAATGATTACTGCATGAAGAATGTAATTATGGGGAGGTGGTGGAGGAGGGAAGTTGTGTTTATCAAACTAAAAAACTCGGAACTCGTCTCGGAGCTTCTTTCTAGAGGTCATTGTCTAAATCTTTACTGCAGCTGCTCTCGAAGCAGCAGCTGCCCACTTCTCCCAAACAGCACCGACCACCACCACTATGACGAAGATGACAAGCCTAGAACCCTAAACCCTAAACCCTTTGCCGAAAACCCCTAAACCCTAAACCCTAAACCAATAAACCCCTTAAGCCTGAACCTGAACCCTAAACCCCTAAACCCTAAAACCCTCCACCGATAAACCAAGGCTTGCTCAAACCCTGAAGCCCTGCAACCTTTATCACTTCCGACGCAGGCTTGCGAATTGCCTTAACCCTAAGGGTGCAAGTACCTAGTAATCAGATACTCTCCCAAATAGTAACCTACATAACTACTATGCGAAACCGAAGTACCTGATTACTGGGTCCTTTGGACCCTTGCGGTGAAGTGGCGTAGACCCTTCAAACACTTAATGTGAAGTCGTCTATAGTTTGGGGGGGGGGGGGTCCGGAGAGCCCTACCTCGGGAGTCATACCCTACCCCTTTGTTAGGGTACTTGGTTGTATGGGTAGGATTTGTTTCGCAGAAAAAGCCGGTGCCCTAAAAAGGGGAAGGGTATGACCCTCTAGGTAGAAGCCTAGTTTCTTGCGCAACTGTGCGGTGAGTTTCCTGGGTCCTTCGTCCCCTGGAGCCTTACAGCTCTGTAAAACCCATTGAACCTGGGTTCAGGGTCTACGGTTCTGTAAAACCCATTGAATCTGGGTTTACTTGGAGGTTCATGGGTAGTTATAAGTAGGGTTCTAAGTGGGTAACTATAGCTAAAACCTGCATTTGGGGACTTATAGCTCCGCTTATAATAACCCATGAACCTCAAAGTAGGGTTTGGGGTTTAGGGCTCTGGAAACCCTAAACCCTAAACCCTGAACCCTAACCCCCAAACCCTATAAACCCCAAATGCCATTGAATCTGGGAAGGCTAAAGGACAACAAGGCGGTCACTGCCGTGGACTTCAACGCAGCACAGGACCAGGCGTGGGCAAACGACAGCGAAAACACGGGTGGTGATTTAGGGTTTTAGGGTTTAGGGTTCAGGGCTTTGGGTCTAGGGTTTGGGGCTTTGGGTTTAGGGTTTAGGGTGTAGCTTTGGGTTTAGGGTTAGGGCAGTTTTCATCTTTCTTATGCGCTATCGGTCTTCCCTAACTTTAGCTATCGTAACTATGGTACAGCTCTGTTTATGCCTGCTCTCTTGAGCTTCCAAAATTTAGCTATTGCGGTGCCAGAGACTCACAGCTGCTTGAGCCGAAGCCGTAAATCATGAATCTCACTCTAATCCTCAAGCCGTAAGTCGTTTTCCTCAGCCCAAGCTGAGCCCCCACTCGAGCTCGGAAGTAATGTAGGGGCCTTAATAGTTAGAACGGGGCTTGGGGGTATATTATACTATAAGTATAACAAGGCACCCCCGCAAAACCCTATTCTAACCATACAGGCCCCTACATTACGGGCTTGCAGGCTGAAAGGTTTTGGGACGTAACTTCAAGGTGGCTTCTCGCATCCATGTGGCTTGATTTCTCTAGCCTGGGGCAATGGGAATGATCCCATAATCTCTAACACCCGCAACATGAGGCTATGACCGCAGGCAAATTTCCGTAAACCCCGAAACCCTAAACCCTAAACCCCCAAGCCACGATAACGACTCATGGCTTTCGCAAAAGGACTCCGCATTTCTGAGAGCCCAAACCTGCACTTTAAGCATCATCGCTACTTGGAGGTTCATGGGTAGCTATAGTGGAGTCATAAGTCCCCAAATATAGGTTATAACTATGGTTACTCTACTTATAACCTTACTCATAACTACCCATGAACCTCCAAGTAAGGCTTAGGCATAGGACTAGTACTGAGTAAATGCATGACATGAAACGCTGAATCGCAGACTCACGGATCCAAACCATAAACTCGGGTTTAGGGTCTATGCTCAGACATTAAGGCGATTGCACAAG